AGCTGAAGGAAAGAAGGAAAATGTGACTGCTGGGCTCCCTTTCCTCAACATCTGGTTACTTTCAAGCATCCAAGCACAGAGCAGAAGCAGAAGCAAGCCCATCCTGGGCCCTTCCCCAGGGCTGGGGCTCTGCTAGCTTTGCCCCAGGAACTGGCACAGTGTCTGCAGCTAGAGGCCGTTCAATGGATGCTTCATGAATGAATGAGCAGGTACATCAGACTAAACGACACTGGGAAAGGAGTGAGAGGGCTGCCAGGCTTGTTCACAGTCTAGGGAGCCTCTGAGGACTAGGAGCAGTGAGGTGGGTCATGCCACCACTCCAGGGGGTCTCTCCCCTCCCAGAGCCCCCATTTCCACCTCCTTCTGTAGTCTGGCTCTTTCTCCTGTCACTCACCTTGACAGCACATGTCCTCCAGATCCCGACCCTGTCCTCTGCAGGCTTCCCTCTGATTCCTGGCTGGACTCTGGCTCCTCTGAGGACAGGGAGAGGGTGATGCCCGTGGAGTTGATGGTGGCAACATCTGCTGAGCCGGGAAAGCCCTGGGGTCCTCCTGAAACAAGCACAGCATCCCACCTGAGTCATACCAGCTCATCCCACAGGTCCTGTGGGGGAAAGGGACATTCCCAACAGGGGGAGGGTGAGAAGAAGCTGGAGAGGCAGAGCCCAAGGAGAGCAGTGGAGAGACCTGGGAAGCAGCAAGGGAAGGTGGGGTGGCCTCTTAGATGACCAGGCCTGAGGGCCCCTCGTGAGTGTCCTCGAGGCTGGAAACTATTTGAGGACACGGACTGAGTCTTGTTGACTGCTGTAAGCTCATCACCCAGCACAGCATCTAGTCCACAGTAGATGATCACTGTTTGTTAAATGAAAGGGTTGACTGTGATAAGCCATGTCCCTTCCATATCAAGGGACATAGTGGGAGCAGGGGAAAATTTTGTATTCCTGGGACAAAACCCACAATCTTGTCAGTTGTGATTTCTAAGAGCTTTAAAATAGCCATCATTTCTGGAGATCTATTATGTGCTAGGCAACGAGTGGAATCCTCTCCAGAGATGAGTTCACGGGGCCCTAGGAGATGGTGCCATCATCGTCCTCACTTTACAGAGGAGGATGCGGGCAGGCTAAGGGATTGAGGGAGTCACCCAGGGCCTCACTCGCTCTGCTTCAAGCTCCGAGGTAAAGGCTTGGGCTGCCCAGAGAGGTCAGCAGGTCTCAGAAGGGAAGCCCTGCAGGAAGTGGTTAGGGGCAAGCCCACAGCCTGCCTAGAGCCCACCAGAGAAGGAAACTGCCACTCAGCACAGGGTGGGAGGGACCCCAGGGGGAGGGGGTTGCCTCAAGGTTTGTGTAAGCAAGGGAGGGAGAGGGACCAAGTCTGTGTGTCCCCATGCAGTGGAGGGGACTTTGCATCCACATCCTCAATAAGGTCTGTCATCTCTCTGCCCTCTCTCCCTCCACTCTGTTGCCAAGCCCTGGGTCCCTCGAGCCATCCCAGCCCCAAGACTGTCAGAGCCGTGGGCACGTGTGGAGTGAGCCTGTTATCTCTGCCTAAAAGTGAACGGCAGAGTTGGTCATCTGGGATCACACTAGGGATCAGGGCCTGAGCCCGCCACCCCCCAGGATTCTCCCACAATATGAGGACCCCTTCCAAAGACAAAGTGGTGAGACCCACACCCTTCAGCAGCCTTGCCTGCTGAAACCTACTGCTCCACCAACAGACCCAGGGGCCAGGGAAGGTCTGGTACCAGAAAGCACACTGCCTAGGAGCCCTGTTCCCTTGGTCACAGGACCCTCCAGACAGCATGTCTGCCTGGCCACAGAAAGCCTCAAGAGCAGGACTCCTGCTCAAGTACTCACATGTGCATTCCCCACAGTGCCTAGTACAGTGCCTGGCACGTAACAGGTGCTCTGCCAATACTGAAGGAATAAATGAGTGAATGGAATGAAATGAAATGAAATGATGCTGAAGGGGCAGGGTCTCAGCCATGTGATTAGTGGGCATCTATTGTTCCAAACAAATAGTAAATCCTGGAACTGCTGCCTCTTTCTGCACTGTTGGGAGTAAATCCCTTAAAGCCCAGGCCTCTAGCAGCCATGCAGCTTGGAGCTTGGATCTTGGAACCTCAGGGTTCCCAACAGGAAGAGGATGTCTCCACCACCTTCCCCATGGTTCTGCCTCCCCCAGAAGGGAGTTGCTTAGTCTGCCTCCAGGCTGGCGGTCAATCCTGCGTCTGGCCTCTGCCAGCACCCCTGACACCTCAGAGTGGCTCCAAGGAGCTGCCGAGGTGGTGTGTGATGCTGCCATCTGACTATTGAGATAAAAGGGAATGACTCTGAAGGCCTGGGTGTCACAGGTCGGGTCTTGGCCTCTGCTCTAGAACCACACCAGGCCTGGGCTGGGCAGGAACGAACGGCAGCCCCTTACCATCTCTGCTGTTCTCCAGGGGCAGCTCCGGCTCCCGGCTGCAGGGGCCCCTCTCCACCCTACCCTCGTGGACGGCTCCCCCGTAGGGCTCCTGCAGCCCCCGAGGTGCGCTGTTGTTGCAGTTGTTGGTGGACAGGGCCAGGAGTGGGTGCCTGACCTGAGGGCAGCTGGGCTGGGTCTGTGATGGGGGCAGCTCACAGGTCCTGAGAATCGTGCTTCTTGAAGGAGGCCGGGGGATACCCACAGGTTCTCCCTGGTCACCCGGCCTGCACAATCCAGCC